AATGGAAAAGCATCAGCACATGGAAGAGGCAGAATAAGAGAAAATCTGTTCTTAACTGACAGAATTTTGAATATAGCCCTTTTCAGTGTAGTAGCATGGAAATGCTTCGAATCTACAAATTCTGGCTCTACATCGAATAAACATTGTGATATCTTAGTCCAAACATTGAATTTAGAAGATGAATGTGTTCATAGCATCTTCTGGAAGTGTTCTTTGAGTTATCTAATCTGGTTTGGCAGAACAAATCATTGAATTTAGAAGATGAATGTGTTCATAGCATCTTCTGGAAGTGTTCTTTGAGTTATCTGATCTGGTTTGAGAGACCAAATCATTGAATTTAGAAGATGAATGTGTTCATAGCATCTTCTGGAAGTGTTCTTTGAGTTATCTGATCTGGTTTGAGAGAACAAATCATTGAATTTAGAAGATGAATGTGTTCATAGCATCTTCTGGAAGTGTTCTTTGAGTTATCTGATCTGGTTTGAGAGAACAAATCATTGAATTTAGAAGATGAATGTGTTCATAGCATCTTCTGGAAGTGTTCTTTGAGTTATCTGATCTAGTTTGGCAGAACAAATCATTGAATTTAGAAGATGAATGTGTTCATAGCATCTTCTGGAAGTGTTCTTTGAGTTATTTGATCTGGTTTGGTAAGAACTACAGAACCAATCATTGGAATTAAAAGATGAACTGCATGATCGTCTTCATTAAGAAGTTTCTTTTCAAGCTTCTTTTGCTTATTCCTTTCCCAAAAATCATAGCCCAAGTTTCGCCTTTTCTTGTAATTGGGATCATTGCATAATGGCTTCCCATTTTGTACCGGAAGAAATGTGTCAGTAACATTAGTCATGTGAGCAGCACATATAAAATTTGCCAATTTTGCGATGGATGAATCTGGACCACATTTCTCCAGGGCTATTGAAGCTTCAGCCTCTGAGAATCCCATTTTTGTCATGTATAACAGTTTATTCTCCTCATCAGAATCAGAATTCAATATTTCTAGGTATTAGAAGAACTATCGATATCTGTGAAATCATCTTGAAAGGTCACTTCATAATCAGATGAGTTGTTATCAGAATCAACATGTTGCCTGAATACAAGCTTTTCAAGAGCCTATACTATTGAGTTTTACTCTCAAAAGGTTTTGTGACATTATATCTACATCTACATTTGTCAAAGATGATAGATTCTCTGATTTGAAGAAGAAAGATTTATTGGGTTTCTACAACTGAAGAAATACTCAGTTCACCAATCTGAAATCAAATAACTTAACATTCATGCATCATATTTAGGTGTTTGCAAAAATAGGTGCATTTTCATTCATTTTCATCCATATTGAATTTTTAACAGGAATTTCAAAGATTTTATCAAAGATTTAAATCCATCATTCGATGGATCAACATTTTCAGTTAGAGTTCATAATGAGAAGAACTCATCTGAAGAAGAAGAAGAAGTTCATAATGAGAAGAACTTGTTCAATTTTTTGCTTAAATTCATCCTTTGATGGATCAGCTTTTCCAGTTCGAGTTCATAATGAGAAGAACTCATCTGAAGAAGGAAGAAAAATTCATAATGAGAAGAATTTGTTCAACCTTTTGCTCAAATCCATCACTTGATGGATCAGCTTTTCCAGTTCGAGTTCATAATGAGAAGAACTCATCTGAAGAAGGAAGAAAAATTCATAATGAGAAGAATTTGTTCAACCTTTTGCTCAAATCCATCACTTGATGGATCAGCTTTTCCAGTTCGAGTTCATAATGAGAAGAACTCATCTGAAGAAGGAAGAAAAGTTCATAATGAGAAGAATTTGTTCAACCTTTTGCTCAAATCCATCACTTGATGGATCAGCTTTTCCAGAGAAAGTTCATAATGAGAAGAATTCATCTGAAGAAGGAAGAAGAAGTTCATAATGATAAGAATTTGTTTAACCTCTTACCTGAATTCATCAATTGATGGATTATCTTTTCCAGAGAAGTTCATAATGAGAAGAACTCATCTGAAGAAGGAAGAAGAAGTTCATAATAAGAAGAACTTGTTCAACTTTTTGCATAATTCTATCACAGAAGGAAAGAGGTCAACATCATCCCCAGCAGAAAGTTCATAATGAGAAGAACTCATCTGAAGAAAGAGAAGAATTTATTCAACATTGCTATCAAATGAAGCCAAATGGATAAATTTTTTTTTATCTTTCCGTCTCTGCCCTATTCTTGTTAATACAAGAATGAGCAAAGAGGGGCAGCTGAAGATACTAAATTTTTTTTTTATTTATTTATTCATCTTATTATTATTATTAATATTATTATAATTATTATTATTATTATAATAATTATTATTATTAATATATATTATTTATTAATATTACAAACAGGCCCAGATTGTACCGGCCCAATTACAAAGGATCCAAATGGCCCAAATCAGAAACCCTAAAACCCAATTAGGGTTTTCTATCCAGCTACCGCCGCTCAATTTCAGCCGTTAGATCTGATTGGATCCAACGGTCCACAGTTTGCCAGAGGAAACCCTAGGGTATCAATACCCTAGGGACACGTCCCAGTGCCGCCGTAGAATCCAGAAGACCACGCGGCCGCCGCTGCTGCTCTCGCCGCCTCCGCCGCTGCCACGTCCCAAATGAAGACTCCAGAAGACCCAGCTGCCCTCCACACGCCATGGCTAAGGGGTGAGTCACCACTGGTAGTCCGGTGACTCACCGAAACCCCCTCTTCGGACCGGTCCGATGGCCACACCGGTGGTGGCTATAAAAGCCACCACCCGAACCTGAAAAAAAAAAGAAGAAAAAAGAAAGAAGACAGAAAAAAAAAGAAGAACAGAGAGACAGAGAACAGATCCTAGGGAGACAAAACCGAAAAAAAAAATATACAAAATACTACCAACGATCTCAGTCAAACATCTCACAACCAGCAACCAAAAATAGAAGAAAAAGGAGGAGAGAAGCTTACCGAGGAAGCCGACCACCGGATCTCACCAAAACCTTCGAACAACCGAAGGTACTTTTGTAGATTTGCTCCGATTAGGAGCGTTTTAAAGAAAAAGAACACCGGAAACACCCTTAGGATGTTCCGATCTATTTAATGGTGGAAAAATGAAATTTTCCGGCCACCAGATGCGGTGGCCGGCGGTGACGGTCACAGCGGCAGACGGTTGCCGTCCGGTGACCGGCTTCCCTCCGATGAGGGAAGCTAGAGAGAAGCCAGAGCTCTCTCTGCTTGAGAGAGAAAGAAAAAAGATGAAATGAAGGCTGGCCCTTCGGGCCAGCCGTTTTGGACCTTTTATAGGCCTTCCCGAACGACGTCGTTTCGGGAAGGACTATGCGCGTAATTAGACAATAGTTAAACCCCGTCCGCCGTCCTCCTAACTTGTAAACTTTACATTTTAGTCACTAAATCGAATTTATAAATACTTTTAATTCAGTCTTCGAATTTCAATTTTATTTATTTTAGTCATTTTTATTAAAATAATATATTTAGGATAAATAACATATTTAATCCCTTAATTTTAATAAATAATATTTTAATCCCTAGTTTATATTTTTAATTTATTTTATTATAATATCCGAATTTTAGATAATTTTATTTTAGTCACTAAATAAATAAAATAAATAAATAGCATGTTTAATCCCTAATATTTTGATTAATTATGAATTAGGTTTTTAATTTTATTTTTTCTATCATTTAGTTATTTATTTTAAATATCTTTCTAGTTGTATTTTTATTGTTTTAATTTTACTTGTTTATTTATTTAAATATTTTTATAGTCATAAATATATATATATAATAAATAAATATTTACTTCAAATAAATTATTTTAATATTTATTTTTCAATATCGAAGAAAAGGACAATCTTAATACAACTGGATGTCCTATTCTGGTATTTTAAAATTAAATATTATAAAAAAATTATTATTTAATTTTATGTAAATTAATCAAATAGAAAGAAAAGAGCTGTCTTAAGGCACCTTGAAGTTCTTTTCTGATATTTTTAAATAAATAAATATTTTTTTTATATAATTTTGAAATAATAGAATTATAAATTAAATATATTTTTGAATTTTTAAATTTTAATAATAGAGACAATTTATGATTAAAAAGTACCAATTTTGGGCGTTGTAGGGGTGCTAATCCTTCCCTAAACGTAATCGACCACGAATCCCTTTTTATTATTAAAAAGAACGAATTTTTGGTTATAAACGCAGATTAGTTCATTTTTTATTAGTGTTTTCTTAAAAATCTTTTAAAAAAAATAATTTTTAGGTATTCGACCTACCTGACCCAAAAGGCCGATGGCGACTCTCAAATTATTTTCAAAACTATTTATTCACATCAATTTTACAGCCAAATTTAAAATTTCGTGCCCGGACGAAAACCGGTTACAACAAGTAGCTTCACTTTCCCGTCCAAAGATCCCCCGTATTAGCCGAACATGGAAAACAAAAACAGAGGCACAGATCCAATACACGCTCACACAGGAGTTCATATTCATGAATGTATCAACATGACACCAAATGCATGAATGGTATTGATGAAAAATATATATAACACACATCAAACTGTCAATGACAAAGCTTCCTATTTCCTAAGGGTGAGTACCCTTGTCTGATTCAACAACAGAGAATTCAGATGAAAAAAACAATTACACTTTCTATAAATCCAAAACACACACACACAAGGACAAGTACTTGGAAATATCCTCAATTTCCTGTGGGTGTTTTTTGCATGGTTAGACCCAGGGTTTCAAATCACAGTCCGAAAACGTGATAGCGCCCCGCGAAATAGCGGTTTCGCCGTCATCCGAGTTACCCGCTACACCCGCAACGGCCATAATCATGGTAAACCCAAAATGACCGAAAATACGACCGCGACTTCGATTTGAAACCCTGATTAGACCCTTAATTAACACTTGCTCAATCTTATCATAACGTACTGATTATGTATGTGTATCAAGATATCTTCTTTGAACAATTCTACCGTGTCTTGCATTAAACTTAAGAAAGTGAAAGTTGAGTGTTAATTTCGTGCAAGCCTTTACAATCTGATTTCTTTTCATCACCAATTCCAATATTTCGGCTTAATCTTAACTGTAGATCAGGTAACCATTCCATATCCTTCATCACTTTATCTTGATTCATCTGCATATCAAATAAAGATAAAAAAAAATCATTTATAACTTATAAAATATCAGATTCTAAGATGGAATTTAAATGTATAAAATAAAAGTTCATCGATGATTACTACCTTCATCAAAAGTGAGGCGTCAAACTCGGATTTATAAACATCAACTTTGCTCAAGAAATCAAGCTTGTTGGAAAGGAACTGCCCAACAATGTTGTTGTTTCCTAGGTTGTCCTCATTGGGTCTATATGCGTCCTTGCAGTTAACTTCCGATCTATTACAGATCGTATGGAAAGGATGCCACCTCTTCTCTCCCAGAACCCGGCCTGGTCTCATGGGTCCCATTCGCATAAGCCCTTCATTGTTGAAGGCAGGCTTTGGGAAACCATTTTCTTCTCCACCACCATTGCTCATCAAGGAATTTAGCGGCAAGTGGTGCCTACTAAAACAAAAAGTGTCCTAATGAGATTAAAACCAATAGTTGTATAAAAATAACTATAACCTTTTGATAGATCAGTATGAATCCAATTCATTGTTACCTGGGAAAGCTGGGTTTGAAATCTAGTGGCCGTCGGTAAAGAGGAGTTGGTGTGATGTTATTTTCAAGAGACTCAACGGCTAAGACAATTCCACCATTTTCCATTCTGAAATGTTGACGAGGACCGGAGCCTACGGCGGCGGCTTGCTGCAACAATATGCTCCGAAACTCTTCCCTTCCTTTTACTGATCGATTAGTTTTGATTAAAACTGTAAAAATACAAGAAAACGAAAATTTCAAAGCTTTATTAGTCCAATATCATCAAAATTGATGAATTTTACTTAAATAATTATTGAGATACTATATTTTTAAGATAAATATCATAATTTAAACTTACATAAAATAGAAAAATATTGACATATTTGATCACTCAATCAATTAATAATTATGCCTGAATCTTGTTATTACCAAACGATGCTATACATCAAATGAGTCCAAGGAAAAAAGAATTCACCTTGTCCAGTCTCATCAAGCTTCTTACTTCTATACATCTGAAACAAAAACAAAAATAGAGATAGAAGAAGAAGAAGAAGAAGAAAGGATCAATTGAAAATGTTGAAAAAAGAAATCAGAATTAAAAGTGGGTTTTCTTCTGCTTGTGGCACCTGCAAATGACTTTTTACATGGGCAATGCTAAGTCCCTTCACATTCATCAATTGAAGAACTAACTTCGGAGTTGCTACTGAAAAAAAAAATTATTAAATCAAAGATGAAGAGAGTCAGAAAGAAGAAGAAATTAAGAAAGAAAGCAATGTGTGAAAGAACTGACTGTCTTGTCCACCGAGTCTTTCAACAGCATGCACAAAAGAGAGATGCAGATCAGGAGTCCACCGAAGCCGAGGCAGCTTTGACCTAACGTATTGCCTCACTCTTCTTCTATCATTATTATTATTATTATTATTGCCTCCATTGTTATTGCTGCAACTTCCCTCACTTCTCTTCTCAATCTCATCCTCTTCAACACTGACTTCACTCTCCTTCCCAACATTCTCATCCTCATCCTCTTCGCTCACAGCATCTTCATTCAAGTCAAAGCTCGTCCACTTTTGGGAACATACATCACCGTCAACCCTTCTTTCCTCTTCATTCATCTCCTTCATGTCTTCTGTCATCGCTTTCTGTTTATTCTACACATCCAATGGCTTCAAATAAGTGAAAACCAACCGAGGCTGCCTATTAGTAGAAATCTAATTAAAGGTTCCATGTTCGTAGTTTTATTCACCTTAAATCAACGTTTACTTACCTACTCACATTCAAGTGCCTATGAGTATCCAATGTGTACAAGTTCAAGTCTGGTGTCAAAAACACTATAATATGTAATCAAAATGCAATAAGTAGCAATGCCCAACATTAGCAATATTTTTTTAAAAAGATTCGAGTGCAACCCTTGGATATTACGGGATGTGACTGTGAGGACTTTTTTTTTCTTCTTCTAGGTGATGGGTTTAACTGCACACACTTATTAAGCATCTTCAACTAACAGCAACATTTATTGGGTGGAAACCATCGCATAAACATCATCACCCACCTTTGTAAATGAAAGTAGTTTCGAATTTACGAGTTCTGGTTATGACAGAATGTGGTGTTTTGTTCAGCCAAATTTAAACCTAGAGAAATCACAACAATATTCTACCTGCTTGGCTGCTTCTCTCTCTGTGAAACCATTATTTATTACTGAACAGCATTAAAGCGTGAAAACAAGAATAGAAGGTCTACAGTGTCAGACTTACATATTGATCTGAAGTTTAATCAAGAGAGACAATGAATCCAACCTATAATTTCTGCAAAAACTGAGTTGACAAAGTGAATAAAAGATGAGATAGTTCCAACCTATTATGTGGCATTACAAACTAAAACATCAGAACGAATTGTGTAATAAATAAATCTGCCATTGTGTAGGAAAAAAGTAGTGGATTTCAGTTTCTGATATCAAATAGGAGTAAATCATGAAAAAATTTATAATGTCATCTTTATTTTAATAAAAAAAAAAGTACTAGAACTTGTTTTTTTTTCTAAGCTCTGAATTCAGATGAGTACGATTATTTAACATAAGGATAAGAGACAGAAAATGGGAGAAGTGTCATCTGTAAAGCTCGTTTGTATTTATATTTTATGGTGATGAACTTGAGTACTTGAGTTCGTATATATGAAAAAAAAAATAAAGCGTGGAATCCAATGAAAAGCTGGAGCTAAATTTAATTGAGACTCGAGTTGAGATTTACTAGCATTTACCAGTCCTTTATAAAATAATTTTAGGTGCAGATTGAATGGGAAAAGAATCAGTATTATGATAATAAAAGCTTGTTTCAGAAATGTTCGATTTCTGAAGAACTTGAAATAAGCAGTTCATCTCTAAGACTATGATACTATTACAACATCATCACTCATCATTCCAGAAGATCCTTTCATAAAATATAGCTTCAAAATTTTGAAAGAGAAAAAAAAAAAGACTATCGATCCAAAGACACAGAAAAAAAACAACACTAGTTAACCTAAATGATTTTCAAGCAGAAAATATGTAAGCCAAAGAAAAAACAATCAATTCCTCACGGATACCAACCATTGATGCAGAAGATCCCTGAAGCCAATATTTCTTCCAAGTTGTTGATCATCACATAATCCTTCAACTTGAGAGAATTGTTAAGCAATATACATATATAAAGAGAGAGAGAGAAAGGAAGAAGAAAAAGAAGCTTGAGGGCAAGGTTTTTACAACTTGGTTCGACGATATATGTATTTGGGTATCATTGAACCGTGCAGTTTAAGTCATCAAATTATATAAGATCTTCATCTTCATAGTCTTGACGAAAAGGCACATATCAACGTCGTTTTGATACTCCACATGTTTTTTTTTTGCTCGACAAATGTGATTTATAATAGAATCATGAAGCCTACGCTTGATTAGAGTGTCTCGTTAAAAACTTTCCTAATCCTGAGCGGAGTAAAATAGTACACTGACAACCAGAGATAGCACCCCAATACAAAATCTTAAAACAAAACATCATAACTGTAACACAATTAATACAATTAAGCAACCCCTAAAGACTCAAAATAAACAAAACAGTAAAGACAAAACATTTCGCCTCATACACATAACATAAGCACTCTGTGCCACAGGTCTCACCACCAAGCCTTGAAAAGATCCTCGCGAGACATTCCACCTTTTGCCAAGCAGACCGCCAATGCATTATCCGATCGAGCAACATGAGAAAAATGAATATTGCGAATTCTGGACACCAGTTGATCGATACTAATAAACAAATCCCACCAGTTGATCGATACTTATAAACAAATCCCACCAGATTCGAGGACGATGAAACATATCGAGTAACCAATGAACACAATTCGGAGTCAATCTCCACAATTAAAAAGACTTTCTCAATCAATCCTGCTTCTTCGAAAACCTCTAGAGCTGTTATAATTGCCAAGATTACAGCAAAATCATTTCCTTTAGGAGGAGAGGGACCCGAAAACATAGCATGAATATCTCCCTTCCACGAGCGAAGGAAACCTCCGCAACCTGCTGAAACTGGATTTGGAACACCTCCTACACTGAATTTTGAAGCTCCAGGAGGTGGGGCTTCCCATGGCGTCAAGCAAACTGAACTCGAAGCACTAACATTACATGGCCTAAGCCACCAATCATCCACATTCACCTGTAAGTCATCTTTTGATGCTTTCAGCCATGCAAGAGCTCTTAACTTTGTAATAAAAAACAAATCCTTCATACTTGCAGATTTTCCTTCGAAAATTATATCATTTCTTATCAACTAGATACTCCATGCAAAAGCTCTTAACTTTTTAATAAAAACAAACCCTTCATACTTGCAGATTTTCCTTCGAAAATTATATCATTGATACTCCACATGTTATCATTACAATGCAAAACCGTAGTCTTGTCATCACAGATGGAACTGTTGCAGACATCATGTGACTATTCCGTCCTTTTTTTATATAATTTATTTTCCTTATTTCTATGAGTTGAATATTGAATTCTCCTGTTTGACAGTTGTCTCTCTGTAGAAAACAACTGATTAAAAAACACTTTCTTTCTTTGGTGATTAAACTAATTGTTTGACCTTTGGTTAATAAGATCTTAAGAGGAACTATATCCTCTCGTTTTTAGTATCGTGATTAACCAATAGGGTTACTTTTTACATGATAATTAAATATATTTTTTTAAGAAAGGATGGGACCATTTCTTCATCAACCCATCAATTTCTTCCAACCTAAACAAGACTTTTTTATGTTTTATTTTTAATTCTTCTTAAATCATAATAGCAGTACCCTTGTCTTATCCCCATGAGAGTCCACAATCCACATCTTTAATTTTCAGCGCAAATATAAGTTGTGTGACTTTGAATATATATAAGAGCTAGGATATATTTCTAAATTATAAAATTAAAAATTTTATATTAAAATCAATAGTTGAAATTATATTTAAGGTGTAAATTTTAAACATATAATTATTCCCCATTTTCACTCCTAATATTAAGGAGTAAATTTTAATTTCAAACATTGATTTTTATTTATTTAATAATTATAAATAATTTTTATATTGTGTAAATATATTCTAATTATATTCATTATATTTTCAATTACGAGAAAATAGATTTGGTCGTTCTTCTAACACTAGAATTATTGTGGGGTCGAAAATGGCGAGCAAGAGCTCCAGACTTTGTCAATTTTGGGGGGTCTAGTCTATTGTATTCAAACAAGTAGCCCTCAATCATTTTCCCATTTTTTTTCAATTCTTAAGCAGCAGAGCAATGGAGAACATTAATTTAGAAAATTAATTTAATGAATTGAATGAGCTTTAATTGCAAATCTATATTTCAACATCTTCTTTCACCTCATTGGGAAAGGGAGGAAAGAGAGTGGGTGAACTTAATGTGTTTGGATTCTTATAATACGTTACCAATTAAAATTAGGATGAGGGCCTAGGGGCTTAGGGCATGAATTGGTCAAAATAATTTTAGCTTTTAGCCTTATAAACGCTTCACCATACACTTAACTGTCACAACAAAAAGGGGACTGCCGATATTTAATATTTCAAAAAGGTTTACCTTAAGAGGCTGAGCTGCAGATGGTGATTTGGACTGTTTTTGTTTTCTTCTCTTAAAAGGGTATTAGGTTTGGCTAATGACACCCAAATATGGCCTGGTAATGTGTGACATGTTCGTTTGTATTATTATTTTATTGTTCCAAATTGAACACCAAAGTAAGATGCTTTTCGGACAAAAACAACTCGGAACTCCTTGTTTGTTTCTTGTCTGCTCCTTTGCATGAGGAGTTGACATGCATTTCTTTTCTTTTCTTTTTGTTTTGTTTTAAACCATGCGAATCTGGATCATTTCATGGATGAACTTCACGTGGCATCAATATTCAGTAGCTCAGTGCCCGTCATCAGAGACGGACGCTGATCAGTGGTGGACCTACGATAAGTTTACGTGGACACGTGTTTACCTTATAAATCTAAAATTTCTTCGATTAATTATCTATTTTATTAATTGCATCCATCATAAATTTTTATTTAGGTATAAATTTTTATTTGTATCCACCCTAAATAAAAAATTGTGTTATTTACATATGTTTGTCCACCTTTAAAAATATTTGTAGGTCCACTACTATATAAGATTTCTTGTTAGAGGAGACGAACTTATAAATATTTTAGGGTGAAAACATATTATTTACAGAAAATAAAAAAGTATATTCAAAATATATGAGAATTTAAAATTTCTAGATACATTCGTCATAATCTGTCAAGGATCTAGTACGAAGAAAGATTCATGATGATAATCCATAAATGAACTTTAATATCCCAATAATCTAATGCTTTTATCCTGTTTGATTGTTTCTTATCATTGTTTGGTTTTCTTCCTTTTAGGGTTTGTATATATATATATATATATATGAAACACGTGAACCGGCTCACCAGATTGCAACCTTTTTGTGTGCTTTCCAAAGCATAAAGTTAATTAATCAAGAATTATGGTTCATAAAAGAGAATCATGTACGTCAGAACCATTTTGCATGTTTTCTGCATTCGTTTGATCGATCAAACCATTAAAAAAAGCAGTAAAGAGCGGTTCAATAAAGAGCCTAATATGATCAGTGTCATAA